AAGTGGCTCTGGATCCTTGCTGCTACCTTTCACAAAAAGCTATGATCAAGAATAAGCTAAACATCAAACTCTCTGAAAGAAAATACTTGATACAAAATAAATATAAGGAATGATCCAAACAGTTAAATTCAACAGTTCATTTTCCCATTACCTTTTTTTTTTTTTTTTTTTTTTTTTTTTAAAGTCAGGTCCACTATGCGGTCTTGGTTGGCCTGGGATTTGCTATTGTAGACCAGGATGGCCTCAAACTCCCAGAGATCTGTTTGACTCCAGAGTGGTGGGATTAGAGGTGTGCACCACCATTTACATTTTATTCAATATACTCAGTAGACAGAAGACATCAGTGTGACTGGCATCATCACCTATGATTCTGAAAAACTGGGCTAACCTCTGTCAAATGTTCTTAATTTTTGCTTATTCAAGTCTCAACTCTTTAAAAAACAGTCTGATTACCTGGCACTGAATGACAATAGTTAGGCTTTCATTCAGATAAATAAATAAACAAATAAATAAAGATCTAAAAGAGTCACCTCATCACATGAAAACTCCAGACGCCAAGGACATTCTCCCCTTTAGAAAAGCAGCTGATTAGCCGGCCATAGGGGGCAGCAGAGTTAAGAGAGTGAATTGTAAATACCAGGAGAAGTGAGGGTAGAAAAGTTAATGGGCTGAGTAAGGAACCATGAGAATCAGAGGGAAAGACAAGGCTTCAATTAATGAATTAAACCAGCAGACATCTGATACTATACTAGTGGTGCTAGGCCTTTATATGAGACTAGTTATAAAAAGTAACATGCTTGGATGTTGAGGGGTTTGGATTAGGTGTGGGTTTGTTTTAAGCTTTCCAAGTTCCAACTGTGTAAGAAGGATGGACACAGAGTACTCAATACATAAAAACAAAGGTAAACTAGACTCTACCCAGAACTACAATGTTAAAAAGTTAAATTGGAAAACAAAACAAAGCACAAAAACATATTTCCCAAATATATTATTTTGTAGCTAAACCTTTGTCTCTGAAACTCAAAGGAACAATAATAATCTAAAGGCCAACTATCAGTGCCTTTATCAAGGAGACCGTTATTCTTAAAGGTGAAAAGGACAAGTTCATAGGGGTTAAACAACTAGCCTAAAGCAGCTGTGAGTCATCACGACAGCCGGGAGACAATTCAGATCTGCTATTCACAGGGCGGTGCTCTACCTCATGGTCTCACTTTACTCAATTATATGCTTCCAAAGATAATTCAAAATTAAGTTAAGAAAGACAACCAAAAAACGAGAGGAGGGGAGATATGATCCTAATAGGAATTCTGAAGATTCTAGCCTTAAAGGAGAAAAGATTTCCTCATGTGAATACTAGCACTAGACACTATATTTAGCAATTTGTGAAGAATATCCAGGAACCTTAAAAGTTAGCTGAGTAGTAGTAGTGTGTCCCTCCCCAAATCAAGACAACTAAAATCCAATCATGTCACAATTAACTCAGAAGACCACATACCTCGACAAAAACAAGCACATCCATTTCCCCTATAAGCAAGCTTCTTCAATCAGCAGCAATGCTCCAGCCTCTTCAGAGTTCAGAGGTCAACAATGAAACAATGATTCTCAGAAAGTTCTTCATTTATTTAACTAGTATGAGTGTATGTCTGTCTACTTCTTATGTGCCTGGTGTCCTCACAGCCAGAGGAGGACACTGGACCCCCTGGAACTGGAGTTACAGATGGCTGTGAACCACCATGTGGGTGCAGGGATCAGAACCTGAGTCCTCTGATAGATGAGTCCATGCTCTTAACCAATGAACCATCTCTCCAGGCCCTCTTTACCTCATCTTAAGAAGAGTTTAATCTCAAAATCAATGTTTGTTCTTTGCTGCTTACTGACTATATTCCAGGAGACACACAAATCTGTATAATCCTAAAGACTAATCTGATCCCTGTTCTTGGTAAAAAACATATTTACTACAGGCTGGAGAGATGACTCCTAGGTTGAAAACATGAACTGTTCCTAAAGACCCCAGTTCAGTTCCCAGCACCTATGTCAGAGCTGCTCACAACTAACTGCTTGTAAGTCCAGCTCCAGGGAATCTACCAGCTCTAGCTTATGAAGACACCTGTTCTCACATGTACATACACATAATTAAATATAATATTCGGGGAAAGTTTATATTTAAGTACTATTAGTAATGCTTTAGTTGAAAATATTTTAATATGGATTTACCAACACAAAACGGAATGGAAGCTAGTGTTCTTTGCTTACTTTTAGGTACTTAAATTATTCCACTTAATCCTTCCAATCCTGGGAGACAGTATCATTCCCATTTTACAAAGGAAAATAAATCAAAAACTGACTTTTCACCCTAAACTAACTCCATTGACCCAACTTTCTCAACAATACTACTTCAAGTTTATGTAAAATGAGCTTATGGCAAAAATACTGACATTTGACCAGAGTCCCAAAGTCAGATGAAACACCACCCAGATAATCCCACCTGAAAGTAACCTGTTTAAGCCTCAACTTTCTCCTAAATAAAAAGTTACTTGGGTCAACCAAAGAAAGAGAATTGTGAAAATACACTGAGCACTAGACTGTCAAATAACAGCATTACCATAGCAGGTGTGAAAAGGCAGATGACAAAGGTCAACATACACATCATGGGTTGTTCAGTTGTCAGGAACAACACTGGTTTGTGTTTTGTACTGTCTTGTAAAGATAACCATTTGAAATACTAAGCTGTTATTATACATAGAAAGAATCAGCTGTTTTACCAAGCCAATCCTCCCAGAAATTTAAGCCAAAACAGACTAAACACACTGAAAGACTACCTATTTTAAATGACAAGTTTCCTAGTTGTTCATTATCAAATAAGTTTTAGGTGAAAAAAATTACATCCTACATGAATGTAAGTTTCAAGGCCAGAAAAAAATTATTCATATATAATTTTCCTAATTTTATTTTCCAGCACTCAGCTCTCAGAGGAACTATTTTGAACATTTTCAACATTAAAAATCATGCAACCCACTCACCTACATGATTTTGCAAAAATAAACTGAAAAGGTTGGATTGTTTTGTTAATCCTTACTCACAGTCTGTTTTTAAGAAAACTACTTGGCCCCTTTCCAATCCAGATCCGTGTGGACAAAGTGTAGAGTAAGCAGGTTGATATAAATACTTGAAAGATCTCAGATGCCCACGGATATCTGAATCACTCCACAGTAAGATTGCATTTCAGAGCAGGAAGAATTCTCTTTCATACTAAAAGGTTTCCTGGTGGTGTTTTTGTTAAATCCATAAATGGGGAGTGGGGGTGGGGGAGAGGATACTACGGGCACTGCCAAAGTACCAAGTAAAACAATTCAATTTTTCAAAGCATTTTGACAACTATAGTAAAACAGTACTTTTACCTACTTGAGGGTCTTATTTCCAAGTAAGAGTTTTATTTCCTCAATTGAATCTGCATCAACTTATAGCAAATAACACCCTGAGGAATAGTACACAAGCAAATACCTAAAAATCAGTCTGGAGTTTCAATTTTATTTTTTTCCACTACTGACAAAAAAACTGTACATAAAAACTTATGGTACCTGCAACTTCTTGAACCAGACACCATGTAACTAAGAATATGATTACTGATTCTATAAATTTAAATCTGTTTTAAAAGCAAAACCTATTAAAATGCATCTCTTGAGACGAACCAGATGTTTAAAATCCAATTATTAGATAAGAGCACTAAGTACAACATTAAGAAAATGAATAACCCACTTCAGAGGATAAAATATGAAAGGAAAATGCTAGTATCAAGACTTCAAGCTAAAAATAACTCGATAAACTAATGAAAAACAAAGTACAAAATAACTTTTAATTAAACAGAAAAACTTAATACCTAACAGGTAAGACAGGACTGTTTTATGGTTATGTCTGCATTCCACTGACCATGCTACATCAATTTAAACAATTCTAGTATGTTGACAATGAAGGGGATACACACTAAACATAAATACACTTTTCAAAAGTCCAGTTGAGTCTAGCTGTGGCATGTCCTTGATTCAGAGGCACCCCAGGAAGCAAATATAGGGTCTGAATGAGCTTCCAAGGCTGTTGTTGGTCAACTGTTGATTTGATCTTGGATTTTCTTTACACTCCTTGCCAAACTAAGTTAGGATTTAGAGACCCAAAGACAAATCAGAACCAGACTGGCCTTGAAAGGGATGCTGGATCTTTGTCAAACGAACTGAGAAGTCTGCTGCTCATTTATCTATTTAGGCATGAGCCTTTAATTTGTTGGCCTTCTATCAGGTTTGCAAGAATTTCTTAAATATCTAGGAACATAATTATCTTCCAACAATGATATCTAGCTCATAAGATACAAAGATGTAAAATCATTATATCAAAAGCCAGTAATTCTCCAAAGAATAAGCAAGAACACCAGGGAAACGTCTTCGTGAAAAGCCCCCAAACCTAGTGGGAAAAGTAACTGAGCCAAAAAGAAGTGCCAAGCACTCCTGCAAAGCATTAGGCATGGACACCACTGTCAATCACTGTACAAAACCTTACAAAGTCCTTGGAAGCACAGCCCCGGGAACTGCAAAGAAACACTCTTTCCCTCATAACCTCTGCGGAGACAGTCGAGGTCTTCTAGGGGCAAACACTAGCGCTTAACGACACAGTCTGTAAGGCACGTCACTTGGTCCCGGTTTTAGGCTTTTTTCTTTATAGCTACGTCTAAGGGTGAGCGAACTCAGCGGCAGTCTGTTCGGACCCTGGGTGTGGAGACCGAGGGACAATTAGAGGGTGAAGAACTAGCTAAATCTGGGGGAGAGCCAGGCCAGAGGCTCGGCAACACGGGGAGTCGGAGGGCCGGGCTAGGAAAGGGAGAGCAGGCGCCTCGGGGACCCCGGGGTGGCTATGGCAGGTCAGGTGGAGCAAGTGCGCAGGTGGGAAGGAGTGCGGGGCTCGCCCGGGGAGAGGGAACCCTGCAGGGCCGGCCGGCCGGCCGCGCACTTTACCTTTGAGCTGGGGCAGGGGGTGCAGCTCCGCCTGGCTGCCTTGGCTGCGGAACTGCGACGAGCCCTGCGAGCGCTTCTGCCTCTGCGCCTTGCGCACCGATTTCCGGGTGAAGCCGTCCACTTTCTCCGAGGCCGAGATGGCGGCGGCGCAGGCAACTGGCGCGGGCGGCGACGGCGACGACATCTCCGCGACCCCGGAGCCCGGCTGGCCCGGGAAGTCGGCGAGGGACGGGCGCGGAGAGCCTGCGCCCCTGCGCCCCGGGCTCCGGCCGCGCCGCCCTCGCGCTCCGCGAGCTGCTCCCCGCCCGACAGCGCCTCACGGCCGCATCCCGGGGCTGGCGGAGGGGAGGGCTGGGGCGCGCGGGCCGGCCGCGCAAGTTGCCGACGCCCGGCGCCGAGGGCGGGCGGAGGGAGGCGAGCCCGAAGTTTGGACGGCTGCGGCGAGTGCGCGGGTGCGGACCCCGGGCGTCCCCCTTAGCGCGCGGAGCCCCTGCGGCGCCTCAGCGGCCGCTGCCCGCGCCGTCCGCCCGGCCGGGAGCCTCCTCCCGGGGCGCTTCCATCGCCGGTCCGCGCGAGCCGCCGCTGAGCGCTCGCCCTCCTGTATGTCAGCGCTGGCCCCTCATCGCCCGGGGCGTCCCCCCGCGCCCGGATCCTGGGAGCGTCGCCCTCGCTCTCCCCAGCGCGCCCACCGACCGCCCACGGAGCACGCCCGGCGAGCGACTGCTACAACTTGAGAGAGAGGGCGGCTGGTACGGGCGTGGGGGCGGGGGCGGGAGGGGGGACACCGTGCGCGTGCGTGCGTGCGCGCTCGCTCGCGCGGCCTGGGGGAGGTCCTCGTGGGGGGTGGAGGGAGGGGTTTGACTGACAACTTCCGCGGGGTCCCACGAGCTTGCTGAGTGTCCGGAGGGGGCCGGGGCAGGAAAGCATGCCAGTCCACTCAGCCAATCGCAGGGCTAAGCGGCAGAATCGTGGGGAGGGGGCGTGGCCTGCCGGATATCTACCAGGAGTCCGGAGCTGGGAGGGAGAGAGGGCTACGTGACAGACGTGGGCTTCAGCCAATCGCAAGTGGAGGGAGTGAGCGGGGGGGGGTGCCTTGTGCGTCACAACTGTAATGAAAGCTCTCGGGGATGGGGGAGTGCCGCGCGGCTGTCGGCCTTCGTGCACGCCTGCGCTGGGCTCCGGGTCGGAGCTGTCCTCCTGACAGGGGGGTGAGAGGAAGAGCCGACCAGCGGCTCAGGAAGCAGAAGAGCGTCCTGCTGGCTGGGGAGGACCCAAGGACTCCAAGTGTTGCGTCAGCGGGACGGGGGCAGGGCAAAGTGCGTCACAACAATGTGATTGACGGGTGAAGGAGAGGAGTGAGCGCGTCCAATCGGAACGCGTTGCTGGGCTCCTGGGCGGGCCCTGGTCCTCTGCTCCCTAAACCGCGGAATTGGTAGTTGGGGAGTCTTTTTGTAGCTCCCGAGGTTTCGGCGCTGCGGTTAGCTGAGCGCTGCTCTCGCGTGGGGTTTGGACGAGCTCGCCTCTGCCACTTCAAAGAACTCTGCGAGTCCACGCCCTCCGAAAAGAAGTTTTCTGTTTCTAACTTAGCCCGATTTTAACCCCTTTGGCTAAAAGGCCTTTAGTCATCCATAGTCAAGTTCAGATTCCCTGATCTGGGGGTCTTGGGATCTCTTCTTTGGAGATTCCAACTACATTTTAAATTTATAGCCAAGGACTGTTCATATTAGTTTTTGTGCCTTCCATGTGATGCCTCGACAGTAAGTGACTCCCCACCCCAACAGGCTTTCCTGCAAGCGCCACACCTTTTCCTTTTGACATAAGAACATAAGTAGACTGACTTAATTCTAAATCTACACTCAAAACATTTGCTCAAACAAATTAGGTAACCAGCCAACAGGAATGGATAATGAAAATGGTGTGTATACACAATGATTTTTTTTTCACCATAAAGAACAAAATTGTATCATTTGTAGGAAAATTATCTAACTGGAGATAATCATATTAAGCTGGTTAAAGCAGTCTCAAAAAGACAAATATCCTGTTTCCTCTCCTTTGTGGTTTCTAGATTTTACATAAATACATAAAATCATGTATGTATTTGCAACTTGAAAGTAGACGAGAAGTTGTTTAAGAGAATAAAAAGGGTTAATAAATGAGAAGGGAATGTTTGATGTACAAGAAATATTTGTATTTAGTTGCAACAGCAACTAAAAAGACCTTTCTTATCCAATCACATACCAGGTTAAGGTGAGTCTTCTTTAAGGTTCAAGCAGTCTTTAACAATTTGCAAAATGACCCATCATAATTCAGGGTTTCTGGATCACTGCCAGAGGGCCTTGAGAGAGAGAGAGGGAGGGAGGTTATAATTAGATCATTTATCCCCTACCTCCAAACCCTTCCATGTACTACCCTCCTTGCTGTTCTTCAAATTCATAACTTCTTTTTCTTTAATTGTTGCTACACACACACACACACACACACACACACACACACACACACACACTCCTAAATATACAAACGCAACCTGCTCAGGCCATATAATGTATGTATATGTTTTCAGGGGTGGCAATTTGGCATTGGATTCACAATTAGTGTGGCCTTTCCTGGGTCTGTTTCTCCAGCTCTCAGCATTCCTTAGCTGCCTGTAGCTCTGTCCTATGGACCAGTACCCACACAAGTGGGACAAGTAGTCCAATGCAGTCTGAGTCCTGACTTGTCAGCTACAAATCCTACACACACAGACTTTTTCCCTTCTGGTTCAGGCACAGCATCCCACAGAGTGACTGTGCTTCCTTGACACTTGGTGCAGGCCCACCTTCTCACACTTGGTGAAGTCTCACCTTCTCACACTTGGTGTAGGCCCACCTCCTTGAAATGACCCACCTCATCCATATTTGTTAAAATGATACTCTTGCTCCAAAGCCCAGATAGACACCTACCTTCTGTGAAGCTATTCACAGTAATCTTCCCCAAGGGGCTGCCTCCCTTCTTAGTATTATATATTCTTTAATTTATTTATTTTATGTGCATTGGTGTTTTGCCTGCATGTAAGTTTGTGTGGAGGTGTTACATCTTGGAGTTACAGGCAGTTGTGAGCTGCCATGTGGGTGCTGGGGTTTGAACCTAGGTCATCTGGAAGACCAGCATGTGCTCTTAACCACTGAGCCATCTTTCCAGCCCCATGAGTTAATTTTTTTTAAATGACCCACTAAGTCCAGTTATTGCTACTCTTACATGCATGGTTGTAGGGCCATCCACTGGAACATGGGGACCCTAGCAGTGAATTGCCCCAACTTTAAATGCCATTAATAGTATGTGCCTGTCATATCACTCTTACCTTTTCAGAGACTTGCCTTCTATATTCATACAATGGTAGGAAGAAAAAGTGTACAGCCTTCTTGGAAGGGTTGGCATGGGTTTTAAATGTGATACCTGAGAGTCAACACCTGAAGAAATGAACCTTATTCAGACAACACTTTTGCAAACAGGTATTTGTCAAAAATCTAATTCCATCCTTTGTCTTAAAGAAATTTGGTCACGACGAACCATCCATATGGTCGTGATCACCTGTAAACCTAGCACCTAGGAGGCAACAGAAGAGTGACTGTTGAGAGCTCCAGGTTGGGCTGGTCAGTATAGTTAGCTCCTGGCCATCCAGGACTATCTGGTGGTGACCCTGTCTCAAAGAAAACAAAACTGTCTTACCAAAGATTTGCTATGTACAAGATCTTTCAACTAAGTTGCCATATAAGCTGTTAAAAGGTATGGAAATTTGGTTTTCCTAAACCAGACTCGGTGCTTGTTTGTTTTTTTGAGGCAGGGTCTTGTGAAATAACCTAAGATGGCCTTGAACTTGTAATCCTTGTGCCTCTTCCTCCCAGAGCCATAGAGTTAAAGACAAGTGCCATCACCCCCAGCCACTTCTCCAGGTTTTCAAGCACTAAAATTCCATGTGTTTATCCGGGCACGTTGTAACTACTGTTGAGATGATTGGAATTCCTATGACTTCAGAAAGATAAGTCAGTGGGACAAGGCAAGAAGTGCCAGTTTTCAACTGGTCCCATTATTCTCTTTTTAATCATAAACTTTTCTTTAAGTTCATCATTTCATTTCAGCCTGTGTTTGTCAACCAGGACAATGACAGTCGGAATGGTTAGGCTGGAGATCTGTTTGGGGTAAGTAGTACAAGTAGTCCAAGGGACCTGTAGTTGGACCAAATGTGAGCAGAGGTATAAATGTGCCTGAAGATGCTGACTCTCTCTTCATAGCTAGGAAGCCCTTGTTCATCTCTGAGAGCATGAGTGTCAGCTAGCACTCACTCTACCTGATCTTTAACCTATGTAGACAAGGAGTCAGACAGAATTGTAAAGTTCATGTCATGTACCATTGTCCTTGCAGAGTGAAACTAAAAAGCCTGAGCTTGGCAAACTCCCCACACAATAATAATACAATCCTACAAGCATTTTATAGGTGTCTTTGTGTCAGGTAATAATTCCTGTCACTAGAAATTGAGATAAATAAAGTGTGGTCCTTATAGCAGCCCAGTGAGAAGGAACAGACTCAAACATCAAATAAGCCTGTCATGTTGGTGAGTACTGTAGCATCACTGCTTGGGAAGTAGGGACAGAAAGAACAGGAGTCCAAGGCAGGGCTTGGATATGTAACAAGTTTAAAAGCAGCCTAGGCAACATGAGATCCTGTCTCAAAAGAATAAAAACAGAAGGAAAAAGTAAATAAAACCACAAAAACAAAAGAAGCACAGCCACAACAGCAAAACAAATGAACAAAAACCACAGATGTTCTTTCTGGTATTGTGGGAAAATATCTCATTTAGTTTGGGAAGAAAGAGTCAGAGAAAATCTAACAGAAACCACATTTGAAATAAATAAGACTTGGAGAAAACAAACTTTTGAGACAATCATAAAAAAAAAAAAATCTTACTGTCTAGAAATCAGTTCCCTGACATTTCTTCATCACTATAAATCTTTGCATATTTTACATAACATGCAGCCAAAAACTAAAATGCCAAAGCCACAGGAAAATACCTTGTGCCACATCTTGTATCAGAATTTGACCTGGAGGACGAAGGGCGGGTGGGCTCTGACACATGACTGGCCTCACATTATGAAATGCAGTGATGTAAAAACCTGCATGTCGGCTTGTTGCAGCTCTTATGTAAGTCTGAGGGTGGCCTTTCCTCATTTACCTGAAGAAGCATCTGGTAGTTCGAGGCTGTTGCTGTTCAACAGCACACAACTGATAAATGTCTGTCCTCTTAGGCTCAAACTTGCAGGAGAAAAAAATATCGGTTTGAAAAGCCAGCAAGCTGACTTTT